ATTAGGGATGGGGATTATCCTGGTGACTTTAGGAAGCAGAGAGGTTATAATCCTTGGTAATTTATCCCTCCTTCATATTGGAGGAGTTGGAGTTGGAGAAGGTCCTGCTCTCCATCTGCTTATGAACACAGAAAGGGCAAAGCTCCAGCCACGTTGGGCCACAGTGTTTTTCCCAACTACTTTATTTATTCCTCTGTATCTCACTGCTGTAGATGACTGAGTGTCTGGTACTATCCACAGGCTCCAGTTCCTAGATGGTTTCCAGCACAGTTTTTATGGGATCAGAGAATAGTTTGGGTTGAGAGGACCTTTCAAAGGATGTAGTCTAACCCCTCTGTGATGAGCAGGAACATCCTCAAGCAGACCAGGGCCTGTCCCATCCCAGTGCTCAGCTACCAGTTATTGCCCAAACCATGATGGAATGTGGTTAAAACCCCTCAGACATCTCCAGGTATCTCCCACAGAGCTGGAGTGTCTGAGTTTCCCAGCCCAGGGCTGAGCTTTCCAGCTGGAGACAGTTCAGCAGTATCCAACCCACCTTCCCAACCTCCTGTGGGACATCAGCCCCAAAGGCTCCTGCTGGCACCACACTGAAGCTGCTGCACAGGCACAAAGTCTATTATTAAGATGATTTCTCCTGGGGACTGTGGCCCAGGATAGCTGACACTCTTTGATACTGCCAGAATTTAACAAACTGCTTCTGAATTTGATGTCTGTAATGAAAGATGTGCACCAGGATGTGTTAATTGGGATAGGAGGTCTTGACAGGGCTCATGTAGACATGGAAATAATATGTCTGAGCCAGGATGGGACTGATAGTTAAGAAGTAGATGAATATTCTGTGCAAAATGCAAAGCTGAGTGTTTTCCTTGGGTCTTTTCTAATACCACTGTGTTGCATAAACAGAGTCTGTGTCATCTGCATTAAGGCACTGAGGGGACATTTGCCAACTCTTCTGAGTCTTGTTACTTCTGCAATACTGTGATCTCTCTTCATGGCTGTTTTTTTTTTTTGGCTGAGCTCTGCTGTGATTTATCCCTTCCAGGCACAAATCAAGCAAATTATGCTCAGAATGAAGTAGAAGCATAGAATCATGGAATCACAGAATGATTTGGCTTGGAAGAGACCTTAAAGATCATCTAGTTCCACCCCCTGCCAAAGTACAAAGCCCCCAGACAAAGACCCAGGAATTCAGCTGGACTCTGGCTGAGCCTGGAGGTAGATTTTGTTTCTCTTCTTGCTTTTCTCCTGTCCATCACCCAGACACCCCCAAACACTATCAATGGGCAGAAACAGCATTTCCCTTGCTCTCTGTGAAGGGAGAAGCCACCACTGCACTCCTTGTATCAGCTGTGTGTGTGCCAGTGGGCTGGGGAGCACAATCCCATCCCTGGAAGAGCTCAAAGCCAGGTTGGATGGGGCTTGGAGCAACCTGGGCTAGCAGAATGTGTCCCTGCCCATGGCAGGGGATGGAACAAGATGCTGTTTAAGATCCCTTTCAATCCAAACCCTTCCTGATGATAAAGCAAGTGCCTTTGTTGCTAACAGGCAATTTAATTTCCAAACTAATGTTGGCTTTCTTTAGAGAGAGGGGCTGACCCACGGAGGCAATTGCACTAAACAATTTAGTGATGTTAATTAACTACTTGCAGCATTAAGTCACACTCAGTAGTTTGCAGCGCTGACCTTGCAGCAGCTTTCCAAGACAGTCTGTGAATACTAAACAGCCTCACAGTGACAAAACCCAGAGCCAGGCTGCTAATTCCTCTCCAAACAGGCATCAGTAGAGCTCTGGTTTTGAACAGAAGGAAGGGGAAATCATCCTGCTGCAAAACTGCACCACAATCCCTCACATACAATGTGTGCACAAGGGGAGGAATAGGACAGACCCAGAGAAAGAATCCAAGGAATGCAAGAAAAAATGATGCCTGATTAGCTACACTTTGTGAAACCAAGGAAATGCTTGTTTGTAGTTGAGCAATTAACTGAATTAGTCTAGGGGCTGATGTAAAGCTTTACATCAGGGAGGAAACCAGGAGAAGCCACATGGGAAAAGGTCTGACCAAAATCTCATCAGGTTTTTTAGCAAACACATTGGCTTCAAAGGGAAGAAGGAGCCTGGAAGGTCATTAGCTCCCCCAGCCTGAGCCCAGGGATTCATTCCAAGCCTGGAGCTGGGTGGGCAGTGGTCACCATAAGCCTTGGTGGGTCTGCAAACTATGGGCAATGAGCACAGCCTTGAGTCCTGCCTTGGCCAGGCACAGGGATGGCTCTAACCCCAGCTATGAGATCTCCACACAACCTCCTCTTCTCCAGGCTGAGCAGCCCCAACTCCCTCAGCCTGTCCTCACAGGGGAGATGCTCCAGTGCTCTTAGCAACTTGGTGGCCTCCTCTGGACTTGCTCCAACAGTTCCATGTCCTTCTGATGTTGAGGACACCGGAACTGTGTGCAGTATTCGAGGTGAGTAGATGGGGAGAATCACTTCTTTGACCTGCTGCCCACACTCCTTTGGATGCAGCCCAGAACTCAACTGGCTTTCTGGGCTGCCAGAGCTGAGTTCACCCCTGTGCAACCTGGTCCAGGTGGCCTTGGGAAGGTGTTTCTGGGCTAATATCTGACCAAAGTGTGAGGAGACTGCTCTGTGCTTACAAACTGGGTGCTCACACCCCTTCTGCCCTGTCCCACTCCTACCCAGTTGCCTGTATGTGCCTGGAGCAGGGACCACCACAGCCAAACCAGCAGGCAGAAAGAGTAGCTTGGTTGTAGGAAACCACTTCCAAGTGCTGCAAGAAAAGCTCCATGGAGCTGAGAGGTGGCTGTGCTCCCAGCAAGAGCAGGATCCATCTGTCAGCAGCAGGGTTTGACTCTGGGTGGCACTGGGCAGAGTCATGGGGCTGCTCTTGCGTAAGGTCCCAGCCCAGGACTCACACAGCCCCTGGGCATAAACACCTTTGTTTCTAATGGCTACAAACATCTCCAGCCTGTAAAATGTCATATTTTGCTCACAGGATTACACAGCAACGCCTGCTCTTGGAACAGGGCTTGCCCATGGGGAGTGATTCAGCCTAGAGGATCTGGCAGCAGCAGAACTTCACCCCATGGAAAGGCACAGACCTGGGATTCATTCCCAGAGGAATAAATGACCCTGATCTCCTGTGGCTGTTGTTTTAATTTGTTCTCTTTTCTTTCCATTTCACACCAATGAGCACAACTCGTGTTAATGAACATCACTCCACCCCATCACATATTTATAAGCAATCTTAGGAAGTGAGATTTCTGCTTGAAAATCTAATCAAAACTCACCTTTCATGACTCCAGGACACTCTTCTTTTGAGTAAAGCCAAGGATTGGAAAAGAATCCTTTTGTTTCCAAAACAACCTGTTTTTAAGAAAAGTTTAAGTTCCGTTTCAGGCCAAAACTACTTTGAGAGAGACCTTAATGGTCTCCTCCTTTCTCTTTAAATAATCAAGGTGAGATTACCTTTGAGACTGCAGTAGTGATGTATCTGCATTATGCAAGTGATGAGCAGCAAGGCAGAGCATCAAGCAGTTGGAATCAGCAGTGGGTAAGACAGAGTGGTCAGAGGAGGACATGAATGAAAATGCATCACTGAACCATGCAAGAGCTGGTCTGACCCCTTCCCTCAGAGCCTAACCTTCCTCTCCTCTTTATCCTGTGCTCCTGCCACCTTTAAAGTTAATCATTTGCACTTGAAAGCCTTCAGCTGGAGGAGCTCAGGGCAGGGTGGGAGCTCTCCTGCTGCCTGGCTGCACATCAGGCTGGTTCGAGCCTGCCAGTAAACACAGGAGCACCAGGTATTCCATATTCCCCCTTTGTGCTTGCAGGGAGAGCCAGGAATCATAGAATCACAGACCAGTTGGGGCTGGAAAGGATCTTAAAGCTCACCTCGTTCCACCCCCTGCCATGGGCAGGAATACCAGGTTGCTCCATGGAAGATTTTGCATCTGCTGATTGTACTGGGAGCACTTAGACAAAATCCCATCTCTGTGGGCCCTGGGGTGCAGGAAGCTCTGTCTCTGGTTCAAAACCATCACTGATGATGCCTGGCTGCATCACACACTCCTCAAACCAAGACATACTGAAGGTTAAAACTCAATATTTAGCTTTACCAGGGTTTCGATTGCAACATAAATCTACACGGTCACTTTCTGCTCATACACAAGTTTATTAGAGAAATAAACCACCTGTGATATAAAAGATGAGCAGCACAGATGTTGGCAGCATCAGCTGGGGTCGAGAGTGCCAGGAGAGTTTCAAAGGGTTGGTGCTGTCTCAGACTTACACCTCTCTCATTTTGGGCAGCACTTCTGGATCTGACACCAACACTTAACTGTCACTTCATGCTGTTCATGCTTCTTCCAAGTGTCAGGTCCAGGTGGTCAGGGCTGGATGGGAGAGCAGTGTGGTAGAGGAGGCAGTGAGATGTCTGTCCATCCCTCCAGCAGGCACTGTGTGAGGGGCACTAAAGCAGGGGGAGCACTGCTGAGCTCCCTCCAGTGCCTGGTAGTCCAACAGTTCTGTATGTGGCAGTGGTGGTTTTAGGAGGCACTTCCATGGGGCAGGTGAGTGCTCAGGCACTAAAAAACACCCCAAAAAACTCCTAAAGGAGCAGCAGAGTCCTGCAGTTCTTCCCAGAGATGCTTTACCCTTTCAAAATAAGCCAAACCCCTAATTCCATGGCTTCCCTGTTTCCATGAATCCCCAAATGCATGAAAGACCTTGCAGAGTACACCCTGTCTGCATGCTGAGTGATACTGCACATATAAATAGCTCATATACACTTGCTATGTACAGAACATGATGTCCACGTGGCATTATAGATTTGGTGTGGAGCTCCAAATGCCTCTGGGTTCCTCTCCTGAGGTGCATTGGCAGGAGGTCCCAGCGGAAGGTGCTCATGGATGTGCTGCCCGAGGACAGGCAGGGGAGGCAGCTGGATTTGGGGTGAAAAGCCCCTTTTCCATCAGCCCCTGGAGCTATTCCTTCAGCAGGCCGAGCTTCTTCAGAGCCTCCCTCCGGTTGTCGTCGGTCGCGCCCTTGGGGGAGATCTTGACGCTGACGCAGGAGCGCGGTGGCCTGGGGAAGCTCGGCAGAGGGTGGGATCTCCTCTTGCTGCTCTTCTCCTGCTCCACCTGCCCCGACTCCTTCAGGGCAGCAAAGTCCTTCCCTGCCCCGAGGGACACCGGCCGGGGGCGGCTGCTCCTCAGGAAACTCGGGGCGAGCCGCTCGATGAAGGACATCTTGCCCAAGGAGCTGCTGGTCTTGACGTTCTGCTCCTTGGTGTTGGTTATGTAGCTGCTCAGCCCCACTCCGGAGCGCTCCAGGGTGTTGGATTTGAATGTTATCTGTCGGATTCCTGGCCCCAAGCTCTCCACAGCCTGGGGCTCCCCAGGGATGGGGCATGGTGTCTCCCTTGGCGGGGGATGTGGGGCAGGTTGAAGGTGAACGCTGGGCTGCCTCCTGTTGTGCAACAGGCCAAGCTTCTCCAGTGCTTCCTGGTGGACTTTCTCCTTCTCCTTGGGGTCGAAATGCCCTGAATTCATCTTCTCTGCAGCAGGGTCGGGGTGAGAAGCAGCTGAGGGTGGAGGAGGAGCTTTTGCCTTCTGGTTAGGCTCTGTGGCCAGTGGCACTGGGTTGTTTTTGCTGGTTTTCAGGATAATATTTGGTGGCAATTTTCGTGGTTTGGGGGCAGTGGGAGGCCCACGTTTGGCATCAAGGTCCTGAGAGGTCTCTTCCAATATGGATTTCTCTGGTTGGCCCCATGAAGTCCAAGTCTTGGTCTCCTTGGCTCTTTCCCCCTTGGCATCCGAGTAGTTGCTGCGTGACCACTCATGGTCCACCAGGTCATCCTGGAAGGGATCTGGAGGTTGGATAGTCAAAGATCTCACAGACCTCATTTGGCTTCCTGTGTTGGCATGGTCAAGCCTGTCCTCCTTGGCCATCTCCTGTGAAGATTTATCTGCTGGCACTGCGTCCTTCGCTGTGTGAACAGTCACCTTGCTGTCAGAAGCTCCATTTGCTGTAGGGATGTTCCTTGGAAGACTGTGATAGCCTGGCCTTGAAACCACTGTTGGAGCTGAGCTGGAGGAGGCAGAGATGCTTTTAGCATCCTTCTGTTCAGCCACATGCTGCTGACCTCTTGGAGGGAGAGTCCCATTTCCCAGATCTAGGCAAAGAGAGAGATGAAGTCATGCACCATTCCACACTCAGGCACAGGGCACCTTCCTGTCTGCAAAACACACTTCACACCTGCTGAGCCAGCTCAGCCCTGGCTCAGGACTTGCACTCAGACTTCATCCTGACTCCAGCTCATTGCTCACTGCTAATGAAGTTGGATAGTTTGGGATTGACAAAGCACCTGGTGAATGAGGAGTCTGGTAAATCTGTGTGAGGCTGTTTGGAGTATGAGTGAAGATGCTCTGCTCTGTGGTTCTGCTGACCTTGCTTGATACCTGCCCATGAGAGCTGGGAGAAAGCAGTTGATGCCCTGCATGTCTTGGTGCCCTCCCTGTCTCAGTGCCTACAGCTCCTGCTCACTCAGTGATGGAAATCACTTGGCTGTACCTTACCACATGTATAAAACTGGGGCACTGCTCCCTCCCTGCCTGCCAAGGGAATGTGCCCCATGAGACATTCACAGGCACTTGGAGGAGAGTTTCCACCTTACCCTGGGGCACAGGATCTCTCTTGGGCCACATCCCAGGCAGCTTGGAGGGCTCTGCATAGTCAGTCTCATCAGTGGAGACCCCACTGTCTGCTTCTGCATCCAGTGAGCCAATAGTTTCTTCCAAGAAC